TCACTGATAATTTGGCCGCAAAGTTTGGTAGCCGCGACAAATGAATTCATACACAAACAGACATTCTGCCATTGTTTCTTCGAACCTGGTTCAAATTAATCGCCTTTATGCTATATGTATATTTATTTAAATAGATATTATCTCGTAAATATAATTTTTTTCCCATTTAGTGAGTTAGTTTCTATAGTTTCTTTATCCTCGTGCTAGTAGTATAAAGTTAGTGAGCCCTATAACCAAAAAACACGACTATTGTCGCATGTGTAAACGAAAAGATAGAGTGGTCGTTCATGTAACAGAGTGTGTAAACTTATAAGATTTGGGGTGTTCACAGTTCGTTCCAAATAGTGTCTCAAAATGTAGACGTCTACATTTTAAGACGTTTTCTAACCGTAAAATCTGTGGTGTTGTTGTTTCCCATACAAAATTGGAAAACGACGCCGTCTACATTTTGTCACACTCAAAGGTATGTTTTTTACGCGTCTACATTTTGCAACCTCGCAGCAGGGTTGCATTATGGCAATACTAATCACATTTGTTTTATTTATTGGGCACGTTTTCCGTATTTGCATTTAATTTGAGCGCAATTTTTGATGAAAAGAAACAAATCAAGGAAAAGGAATAACAAATATTACGAATTGGTAATTAAGTTAAATAATTACAATTTTTCAGAAACAAAATCGAAAGGCGACATATAAACAATGCACGCAAACAAGAAATGTCTGGCAACACCAGCAAAGTTTTGTGACGATTTTGCGACGACTGCTAGAAAGGGGTGCTCACAGTTTGATGCTAAAAGTGTCTCAAAATGTAGACGTCTACATTTTCAGACACAATTTGGAACGAACTGTGAACACCCCAATTATCTGCTTAATAAAGTTATCGGTTTAGATGAATACCACTAAAATCTTCAACCGGTACAATAGTAGGTTTAGCAAACAACGTCTGGATCCGTCAACCTACCGACAGGCCCTGAACGGCATTCACGGGGAATCAGTCTCAAGTTATGTAGACTCCCGCCCTGTGAATGCCGTTCTAGGCACACAACCACCGGACGTGGACGGGACAGAACTTTGTCTGCCTCGGGAGACCCGCACTACCATAGCCCAACTTCGCTCTGGCTATTGCAGCAGGCTCAACTCCTACTTGAACAGAATCAACGAGGATGTACCCAACCAATGCCCGGCATGTGGAGACTCGCCACATGACTCCCGGCACCTCTTCACATGCCCTGAGCACCTCACTCAGCTAACGCCCCTGTCCCTATGGACAGCCCCTGTGGAAGTAGTACACTTCCTGGGCCTCCCCCTAGCTAAATTGACGACAACGTTGATGGATGAACCGCCGCGAACGGGGCTTAGTATCCGCTACAACAACAACAACAACCGGTACAACAGTGTGTAATGAAACGAGTTGCAACGATTGCTGCGATCTGTTGCCTGTCTGTGGCTCGCTTAAGCTGCTAGAAAGGTATAGAAACAAACCTGTAATAATTAGGGCATTGCTGCTGGCAATGCTTCGTGTATTTGTCATATGCGCAAAATAGGAGTGAAAGAAAATTTTATTGATGTTCTGTTTTAGTTTAGCAGACTTTTTTTTAATCCTCGATGCAATGGAGCTTTCTACAGATCCATATGAACTTAAATTATTTCAGATGTTTCAAAGTTGTGTTAAAGAGCAGTGTGGTTTACTGGATGAAGATTCGTTATATCGTTTGTGCAGCCTCTTGGAGCTTCAGGACCAAGGTGCTGTGCTGATTGCGGATTTATCTGGCAACGGTCGTGTCTCATTTGATCGTTTCAAAGAAGCTCTATTAAAATTTCTTGGTGCGGAGCTGGAGTTAGATACAAAAGAACCAGTTTCAGATTCGGGTACATGCACTCGCGGTGATAAAGTCATTGCACCAGCGTGTTTCGTCAGTACCAGTAACAGTAGCGATTTAACAGGTGCCTCAGGTAAAGTAATAACCACCATCACAAATGATTATCACTACTTCGCATAAAGTCACCTTGAGAATAAGGAATAATTGAAGTTATGTAATTTATTACATGCATACATGCGTTCAAATGGGTTTCTTTTTGTGGTTTGCCTGGCCGGGACTCTTAGGGCAAAAAACGCCAGGTTGTTCTTCTTGAGTGTTGGATACTCAACTTTGAATAGTTTGACGTATGACAGTAGTATCACGAATTGGTTGCTTGACGATTTCCTTGTCGTTAACGAAGAATTTTTTGTGAAAAGTTTGTTACCAAATCGCGTTCATTTGGACAAAAAACTTGGGTAAAAGTGCACTTTATCGGAACCAGTCCAAAATTGATGAAAAATTGCCATCGGGGTATTAATCGATGAGTTTTAACGCAAATAATAATAATCCGAAAGCGGAAATTAGCTTTTTTAATTAATTAAAGAGCTATTTGCAAAAAACACTTGCGCTACAACAACAATAAATGAAACATGGTCAGGATGATAGGGGGGTATCCTTGTTGTAGCGGCTCTAAACCATGTATTACTATAAAAAAAAAAAAACAATATATTTCATATTTCATCTTTATTCAGTCTATGATTTACAATCTTATAGACTAGAAGTAGGCTTAAAAGTATTAACGGTGACTAGTATATGTACAATTACCAAAATAGGTTTCAAGAGATGATTTAAAAAGAGTTCTTGGAAGCGAAAAGTCGATATCTAAGCTCTTTGAGATATTGTTAAATTCCACAAGGCCTCGAAAATAGGCGCAAAAGATGAGTAGTTAGTCTTAACTGCAGGAACGTAAAAGGGGATGTGAGAGCGAACAGTTCTGAGAGGCACATTAAAGGTAACCTGCTCAAGAAGAGATGGGCAGTCAATGGAGCCAGGGATAAGATCGAAGACGAATAAGAGTAATTAGGTACGCCTTCTATTTTCCAATGATAGCAAATTTATTAGTTTACACCGAGAGTAATATGACGGAATCGGGTCTGAGAAGTTAAGAGAAGCGAGGGCAAATCGAATAAACACCTTTTGAACTCGCCCAATCCTAGAGGCGTGACAATTATAAATAGGACTCAATGTAATAGAGGCATACTCAAGTTTAGATCGTATTAAGGAATTAAATAATGCTTTCCGAATGTAAGGGTCTCTAAAATCGTTGGCATATGTACGAATAATTGCTAAATTACTATAAACTTTTGGGAGTAAATGACAAACAAGATTTACAAAAGAAAAATTCGAGTCAAACACAACACCAAGATCAACAAATTCACTAACAGAAGTAAGCTGATGGTTTACGAGGTAGTAATTTGACGTAAGGGTATTTTGAGATTTAGATAAGGTCATCTTAAAGCACTTTTTTACATTCAAAGACAGTTTATTATATTCACACCAATTTAAAAGACAATCTAAATCTTCCTGAAGAAAGAGAACATCATATGAGGAGGTTATTCTACGAAAGAGTTTTAAATCATCAGCATACAATAAAAAACTGGCGTGTTTGAAACAGGAGCTAATATCGTTTATAAACAGGACAAACAATAGGGGGCCAATAATGCTACCCTGGGGTACACCTGATGTTACAACAAAGGGATTCGATTTACAATCATCGATATGAACAGACAGAGTCCTATTTGTAAGGTAAGACTTTAGCCAAGCTAGGAAATTAGAATGAACACCAATGCACTCCAACTTGTGTAGCAATAATAGGTGTGGTACCTTATCGAAGGCTTTAGAAAAGTCCGTATAAATGGTGTCTACCTGCGAGCCATCTTTGAAGGAAGAAACACAAAATTCTGAAAAAGAAGCTAAATTAGTGACCGTTGAACGACCAGCTACAAAACCATGTTGGTGGGGCTCAATCATTCTTTTGGCAAGAAAAGAGTTTAAAATGTATCACTTTTTCGAATAGCTTTGAGCAGACAGACACTTTCGAAATAGGCCTATAATATGTGATATCGTTTCTATTTCCAGATTTAAAGACTGGGGTTATAGACGCAATTTTCCATCTGTTAATAAATAATCCAGTCGAAAGAGATAGGTTGAATATATGACATAAAGGAATACATAATGATAGACTACATCGTTTAACGAAGTGGGTACAAAAGCCATCAGAATCACATTTCAATCTCGGAGTTAGGGTAGACATGGCGTGAGTAATGTCAGATGACGAGACAATCAACGAGCCAAGATGTAGGCGTTGGGTCGGCCATTAATTTCGTGGTAGATTTATATATATGTAATTGTTTATAAGTTTTTTGTTCTATAAATTTGTTGAGTCGTTCCACCTGATTTCCTTATCAAAAAGTACATTTGTCACATACTTTGGCTGAGTTCCAAGTTGCATCTGAAGGAAAAGTCCAATTGCCGAATTGGAACATAGTTGCGCAAATTGGACATTTCCATCAATTATAGTTTAGAAATAAAAGAGGCTGATGCTTTTGCTACTTGGAACTCAGCCTTTAATATATATAAATGCACATAGCACTCCACTTAATACTTTAAATTCTTTTATTTTATTTTCTCTTGTCGGTATAAAAATCAATTTAATCCAACTTTTATTAACTTGTAAATTACATTAAATTGAATTCAAATTCACAATAACACATGCAAAGGAGGCAATGCGTAAAAAAAATAAAACAGAAAGGAGAATGGGAAATATTGCGAATAGTGTCTGTTGGTTAGGGGCTGGTACAAAAAAATTAAGGGGGCGTGGCACCGCCCACCTTTAGAGCTTGAAAGGGCAAAGATCAAGGAATTCAATGGTATGCTTTTCTTTCTCCTCCGACTACCGGACTCCTCAGTCGGGCCTCTTAAATATGGGGGAAAAATCGTTGGTTTGGGGGGGGCGTTCATTAAAGGGCGGTAGGCGAAGGGGGAGTGGGCGCACCCACCTTTTTAGAGAGGGCATGACCCGCATCCCCCGACCATCTGGGCCCCCTAAGGGACCCTAGGGACCCATTAGAAAAAAGGCCAAAAATCACAATTTTTACTTGCGTCCGCAGTATTTTTGCGTAGAATTCCTTCGGCCGCGCTTTACCTTAGAATTCTCCTTTTGGTGTGCACCAACTAGGGCTACCGCCCCAGTGATGTAGCCTTGTGTAAAGTGAGAATGGGGAGAGCGAGCGAGCAGTCAGTCAAGTACGAACAGCCAGGCGGAAAGGTTCAATAACCGGACAATCGAATTGAATACTTCATTCTGTATCAGATAATTTATTAATAAACATTCTGTTTTACTTGTTATACTACTACCCGGGTTACATCTTGACAGATTCAGAAGCGGGTATCGAGAACCCATACAGGAGTTAAAAATTGTAAGTAAATTTACAAAGGAAAACGTGAATACAATACGGAGCTGCGTCACAAGAAAAACGAAATAAGCTGTGCAACATACCCAAAAAACATACACATACGTACATATTTCGAACGCGGTGGCGCAGCAGCAGAACACTCGACGTAAAGGAGAAGGTGTAAACGGAGCGAGTGAGGGGCACGTAAACGCACACACACTCTCACAACACCGACGTTATATGCGAAAGAAAAGAACGATCAAAAAGTGTAAGTGAGCAACGAAGGTGCAGCGGAATACTATATAAATGCTCAAATTACCAACGGCGGGTACGCAAGCAAACGACTCAACGAAGAAAGAGTAAACGTCAGCAACGACTGTGCAACGAACAGGCACATACAGGGAAAAACAAACGCAAAAGGAATTGACAACGACGCTCAGCTACTGATGAGAAAGGAAAAGGGGTGATAGCAAGCAGTGCATATAGAAACATTGAGAATTAAGGGGAATTGCGGAAGAAGATTTAAAAAAAAAAACGACTCCAACGAACAAAGTAGGCTACGGAAGAAAAGGCTTGTGGTGTTTTTTTGAGGAAGAAGATTTTTTGAAGTGGCAAGCAAGGAAAAGGTACGGGTCGCACGAGTACAGCAGCGAGGATGAAATTGGAAAATTTAAATGTGCTATTGCGGAGGTATGAATTGGCGATTAGTGGAAATAAAGCGCACAAAGTAGCAGCCCTTATGGAGGCGTTAGGAACAGACGAGGTCGAACTGCAGGAGGTATCATCAGTTGAACCATGGGAGCAGCCATTCAACCAGCTGCAAGAGCTTGTATTAAGTTTGGCGAACTCCGTAAAAGCTAATGAACTGGCGCTAAAGCCAGAAGCAGCGGCACGAAACAACGATGGAAATGAGTCGGTAAGAACGGGAGCAGCAACGGAGGGCGGAGTAGAGGCTCCTGAACCCTCACCGCAACGAGGCCACCCAGTGCAGATGGTGCATACGCAAGTGTATCAGAAGTAGTAGGAGTCTTTCCAGAGTTTGACCGGTACGGAAAACGATGACAGCGCAGCAGTTCGTAACGAAACTAGAGCAAGTACAACAAGTGTGCTGTTGGAATAATGAAACCGGGCTTTTAGCAGTTCACCACAAGCTGAAAGGAGTTGCCAAGAATTGGTTAGATGCGCAACCTGTGTACAAATCGTGGGCGGAATTTGTCCAAATATTATTGAAGGACTTTCCGTATACAGTGACATCAGCAGACGTTCATCGGGAGTTGGCAGCACGACGGCGTAAACCAAACGAGACACTCATAGAATATTTTTATGAAATGCTGGCGATAGGAAGGCGTGGCGCCATTGATGAGGAATCAATAAATTCCTACGTTATCAACGGCTTAAACGACATTACGTCCACGCGAACGTTATGGGCAATGAATGTGCGAACAAGCAACGAACTAAGGCAGTCCCTGGAAAGTATGTGTGCGACGACCCAAGGGTATAGACAACGTGTCACTCCATGTACTAACTCATCCGGGTAAGCCCGGTTTCGGTTGAAGAAAAAGCCAAACGTGTTAAATGTTACAATTGCAACGGACACGGACATATAGTGGCAAAATGTCCACAACCTTCGAAGAAACCACGATGGAGTAAATGTTCAAAGGTTGGACATGAGACAAAGAAGTGCACAGCGGAATCAAAAGTGACGGTTGCTAAGATCGACAGCAACATAGGTGAGCAAAAGTTTATTCCGCCAATCGTCGAAGAAGTCCAAGGTGAAGGGGTAAGGTATCAAGCTTTAATAGATACCGGCAGCGATCACTCGCTAAGAAGGCAGTCAGCTATTATGACTGACGCACATACGGAGCCGACGTATCAACGGTTGCAAGGGTTTGGTGTAGGGCTCGTAAAATTATCCGACTATTCGACAAATCGGTTAACCGATTATTCGATTCGTAACCGTTCGCATGCTTATTAGTCGGTTAATGGTATTCGAATAGTCGCTCGACTGCGATTATTCGAATAGTTGCTTTGCTTCGACTACTCGAGCATTGTAGCAAATCGAATTTCAGTAACCGAACTTTCATTGAAATTTCTTTGACATACACATATGTATGTATATTCAGATACAAAAATGAGCGGACGCAAAAGGAGCTGGGTTTGGGATTTTTTCGAAAAATCAGAGGACGAAAAGGAAGTAACATGTTCCATATGTGGTGCAGTTTTGTGCTACAACTCCTCCACATTCTCACTGAACAACCATTTAACAAAAATCCATAACAAAAATCGCGAAAACGAGAGGTAGGTATTGCTTTAGCCATCGTCTCTAAAATATTTCGCAATAACATTTCAATAATTAGCGCACATTCAGCCGAAGCTTTCCACAGTGAAATTTCAAGCGATAGGCCCAACAAATCCAAGAAGAAGAGGCTAGAAGGTGACACAGCCGTCGTTACACACGAACGTCAAGAAGAAATTTCACGAGCAGTTGCACGTTTGATTTCAACCAACATGCTACCGCTTTCAATTGTGTCTTCCGATGGCTTCAGAGATTTTATGAAAGTGATAGAACCCGGCTACAAAGTTCCCTGCGTTAGAAGCATTCATTCTCGCTTGAAGCTATTATATAAATCCGTCAAAGAAAATATATGCAATGAATTGGCGGAGGCATCAAGTGTTTCAATTTCTGTGGATGAATGGTCTTCTCAAACGCTGCATTCTTATATATCAGTAGAAGCTCAGTATTTTAACTCAAAATACGGCTTGTGCACTGCTACGCTTTGTAACAAGCAGTTGGAAGGTATTAATGTAAACCCATAGAAAATCTACTTTTACTTAAATATTTTTTGTCCTTCCAGGAAGACCAAATGCAGATAATATTGCTTCCACTGTCGAATCAGTTTTAAATGATTGGAATATTTCAAATAAGGTTCAATCAATAACTCACGGCAGTGCAGCAGTTATGAATGCTGCGGCACAGAAACTATAAAATATACCTGATAGTGTTAAGTGCAACGCTCATCTTCTGCAGTTGGTTGTTAAGGATGCAATTGGAGCCGTTCCACAGTTTACTGAAATATGCAAGAAAGCCAAAAATGTGTCTTCGTATTTTCATCGCTCAAGCGTAGCCAAAAATGCTCTTTCAATTCGCCAAGTACAGTTGGGAATTAAAGAAAATCGGCTAGTTCAATCTTGCGAGATTCGTTGGAACTCGAAATTATACATGTGCGAAAGTATAATTTTAAACCGCATTGCAATCTGCTTAGTTTTAGGAGATAGAGCAGTCAGCAAATCATGCGATGCACTTAAACTTGAATTTACTGAAAGAGAATGGAACGAAATGGCGACTCTGGTGAGGGCTTTAAAGCCATTTGATAAAGCTACAACAGTGTTATGTAGCGCAAAAACTGTAACGATGTCTTTGGTCCGTCCTATACTAAATCGGTTTACTCAAAATCATATGTCTGCATCTTCTACTGATGGAATAAATGAAAAAATATTTAAAGAATGTGCCAGAAGATCTTTTTTTAAAATATTTAACATTGGAAACACTTGCGATGACATTCCTGCTTCTCTTGTAGCAACATTTTTGGATCCACGATATAAAAATTTGTATGGCGAAGATGTTGAAACAAAAACCAAAATTCATGACTTTGTAAGAAGCTATTTAGAAAAAGAGAAATCAACAAATGTGGCAGAGCCCAAAGTAGAATCCACGGATTTGGACTTTTTGTTTTACGATGACACGTTGCCCAATGACGTGACGTCACAGCTAGATTTATATATTGCAGAACCACAACTTGGTCATAATATTGATCCAATAACATGGTGGAAAACTCATAGCGAAATTTATCCTAATATTTTCAAGTTAGCCAAACGTTATCTATGTATTCCAGCAACTTCAGCTGAGTCGGAGCGAACATTTTCTATTGGTGGAAACATTGTCTCTCAACGAAGAAGCTGCCTACTGCCACAAAATGTACACCTTCTCAGATTTTTGTGCCAAAACAGACGTTTCTTAAATGAAGTTAATATAGGATTTTAAGGTTTTTAATAACGATGTGTTTAAAAAACTATGGTATCCATATATACTATTTACATTTATGTTGTATTTCATCCTTTAATTTGGAAATAAATGATTCTTAAATATGGAAATAACATATTTTGGCAATTCACAATGTGTATTCAGAAACGTATGGCCTTATGGGGGTCTATATGGCACAAAATAACGGTGTGTCTTATAATATAGCCCTTAACATTGATACCAAAGAGTTAGTAATAATTAATATGGGATAGAATTTAATTTTATTTCCTCCAGTATTTTGCTGCACATATCTTGCAAAAAAAGTTTGCCTTAATTTGGCACATGCAATCTTATATATGTATATGCAAAAAAAACTCGAACTTAAAATATTCGATTAACCGAAAATGAACGGCTAACTGAATAATCTAAAGTGAACGGTTATCCGAATAGTCGACAGCTTTCGACTACTCGAATATTGCTAACCGATTAACAGTAGTCGACTTCAGTCAGATTCGAATAATTCGGTTAATCGATTAACCGAATAGCCCGAGCTCTAGTTTGGTGGTTCAATTGTTGAGGTAACACGAATTATAAAAATGCGAATCAAGTTTGGCGACAAGGTCATTGAGGCAAATCTGTACGAGGTCCCGAACAACATGCTCAATTATGCTCTGTTGCTTGGAAGAGATGTGCTGTGCGGGTAGGATAAACGGTTGATCATTGACGCAGGGTCAATGATGCTGCAAATTAAAACCACGAACCAGTTTAACGTTAATAAAGATCTGAAGGAGGACCAAAGGCAGAAGTTATAAAAACTGTTAGCGGATTACGATGTCTGTTTCGCAGAGGGTATTTCCACGCTGGGCAGATGCAAGACAACGTCGATGAACATTGAGGTTGCTACTCCAGGTCCGATTGTAGGTAAACGGTACCAAGTACCATTCGCGAAGCAGCCAGAGCTATCAACGATATTGAAGGAGCTATTGGCTAGCGACATTATTCGGCCCATTGTATCACCCCATGCAGCATCCGTAGTTCTGGTAACAAAGGCCAACGGCGAGAGCAGAATGTTCGTAGATTATCGCGCGTTAAATGCGGTAACCGTGCGGAAACATTTTCCGATGCCAGTGGTTGAAGAACAATTGTCAAAGTTAAGTGGCGGGCGATTTTTCACAACGCTAGACATGACCAGCGGGTATTATCAGATACCCATAGAAGAAGAGTGCAAGAAATTCACAGCGTTCTTCACACACGAAGGCTTGTATGAATTAAATGTAATGGCATTCGGTTTAGTAAACGCGCCGATGGTATTCCGAGAGATGGTCATACGAACTATATCAATACTCAAATCACGAAACTAGGTGGTTAGCTACGTCGACGAGCTAATTATAGCCACATCGTCTTACGAAGATGGTATTACGGTACTACAAGAGGTTTTGGAATCGGTGAAGCGAGACGGTCTGACATTGCGGCCTTCTAAGTGCGTGTTGCTCTCCAGTGAAGTCAGCTTCTTACGACACGAGATTTCCAGCGCGGGTATAGCACCAGGAGAGGCGAAGACGTGGTGTATTAAAGAGTTCCCACAGCCAACAAACGTAACTCAGGAAAGGCAATTCCTGGTATTAACTGGATTCTTCCGAAAATTTGTAGGGGGATACAGTCAGATAGCAACCCCATTAACCACGCTATTGAGGAAGGACGTTAGCTTCCAATGGGCAACACCAAAGCAGGAAGCATTCACGAATTTGAAAGAGGCTATAACTAGTAAGCCGGTATTGACTTTGTACGACCCTCACAAAGAGCACGAGGTACATACGGATGCCAGCCACGGAGGACTATCCGGAATTCTGACGGGGAAAAACCAGTTTTCTTCTACAGCCGCCAGTGTAGCGAAGTAGAAGCACGGTTTCCAAGTCACGAGTTGGAAGTACTTGCGATAATCGAAACGTTAACCCGATTTCGCATGTATCTTCTCGGTAAGGCGTTCTATGTGGTAACCGACTGTAACGCTATCGTTACCACAAAAGCAACAACACCACTACTCCCGCGTATTGCTAGATGGTTGTTGAGACTGTAGGAATACGACTTTAAGACGGTTCATCGGCAAGGCCATAAAATGCAGCATTTCGACGGGATGAGCCGAGCACCTAGTTTACCACCAAGTAAGTGTCAAACGGTAGCCGAAAGCATTTTAGCTGTCACCACTGAAGGTAGCAGCGATTGGGTATTCTTGATGCAAATGTAAGATCAGAAATTGCAAGAAATCGCAACAATGTTAAAGTCAACGTCCACATCCGCAAAGCAAAATCAACACGATTACGAGCTACACAGAGGAAGGTTATATCGCAAGATTAATAGCGAGCGGCGGTTGGTAATCCCTCAAACGATAAGATGGCGAATCACGAAAGCATGCCATGATGACTCAGGGCACTTCGGAATTAAAAGACTCTGCAGCAGATTCAGCGAGACTTTTGGTTTCATCGAATGAGGCGGTACGTTAAGAGTTATATAGCGGCGTGTCCAGAGTACTGCATCTACAAGCTTCGAGGAGGCAAAGCCGAAGGGCGGATGCACTGAAGAGAGATTATCCCGATACCATTCCGATCACTGCACATCGACCATTTGGGACCGTTCTCCAAAAGTAAGAAAGGGAATCAGCACATCATTGTTTTGGCCTGCGCTTTTTCCAAATAAGTAATTTTGAAAGCTGTACGAAACAGCAAATCAGCACCAAGAATTAGCATGCTACGAGAGCTGATGACTACGTTTGGTCAACCGGTTCAACTCACAACCGATCGCGGAACAGCATTCACCTCCAAAGAGTTCGAAACATTTTTACAAGCTCACGACGTACAACACATAAAAATTGCCGTAAGGACACCGCGAGGCAACGGTCAAGCAGAACGGGTCAATAAGACTATTTTACCAGCTATACGAACGACGAAGACTACGAAAGAGAGGGTCTTAACTTTGCTCACGCTACAGTGGAGTCTCAACTCTCAGCCA